TGTCCGTTAGCATGTTGCCCAGGCTGCCCTCACAGTCTCCATCCTGGTTCTATTTCTGCGCTGCGTTTGCAGTGGTCCCCCAGGTTGTGTTGGTGGGCTATTATAGAAGTCCAGTGGGTCAGGCCAGTTCAGATTAAGAGGTGGTAGTTGGAGTTCTTCCAAGATCTCCTGCATGTCCTGTGGGGTGCGGATCTGTCTGGGGCCGCCTGGGATGATGGCTATCAAGCCCGTTGGGAAAGTCCATCTGTATCTTATTTTCTGGGCCACTGGTGCTCTGGTGAGTGGTTTCAGAGCCCTACGGTATCCCAATGTGGCCGGGCATAGGTCTGGGTAGAGTTGGAGGTGTTGGCCTTTGTGGGTGACTTCTCCTCTGTTATGGGCATCGTGTAGGATTTCTTCTTTCAGGGCATATACTGCCAAGCAACAGATCACATCCTGTGGCGGTGCCTCCGGTGGGCCTCTGGGTTTTTAGTTCTGTGGGCCCTGACAAACTCTATGGGGCTCTCCCTGGGGTGGTTCAAGAGGTAATTGAAAATAGCCGTGAGTAGGTCTTTGAGTTGAGCGGGAGTTTCCTCACCTTCCTGCAGGCCTCATATTTGGCGGTTTTGTGTGCGTCCTCTATTGTCAAAATCTTCTATATGTCGTGCCATGGCTTGCATTTGAGCTGTTTGCTGTGTCTGGCTTGCAGTATGGGCCGCCTGTGCTGCTGTGAGGGTATCATGATCTACCTCTATCTGGGCCATGCGGTCCTCCATACCTTGTATATCCGACCTCATCAGCTGGATGTCCACTCTGATAGAGGCCTGGAGGGCTGTGGTAGCTTGATTCAGGTCTGCCCGGGTGGGTAGTGCCTTGAGCAGGGTCAGCCAGCAACATATCTTCCAACCTGAGAGAACTGCAGTGGAGATACTGGCTTGGAGTATTGGAGCTCTACTGAAGTTAGGTAATAGTGGGGTTGCAGTGTGGCATGGAAGGGAGTTAAATTTATGCTTGACAAGGTAGATTGTAGAAGTATAAGAACCTAGCATGGATTGTAATGTAGATAGCCATGCAAGACTTCCTCCAACAACATTCTGCTGTTGCCATTAGAGATAATGGGTGAACTTGCTATTCCTGGCACTTAGAGCATGATTTAAGAGGTGCAGCCATGTCCAAAGTCATAGATAAGACAGAATTGTAGTATAAGATAGCTTGAGAGGAACAGGAGAGTCAAAGAGGAGAAAGTGGAGACACAGATCAAGGGAACTTAGATTTCTCATATGGAAGGGAAGGATAAGCACTGAAATATCTGACTGAGGGAGGTCATATCTATAAAGGTGGCAGCTAACCCCAAAAAGTAGGAATCCCTCTAATCCTACTAGTGGAAATGGAACACAGCAAACAGAGGAAGTTAGGGGTAGCGCCACAATATGGAAAAATATAGAATAAGCAAATAAATAAATAAAAACAATTAGGAATGAAGCACATATGTATATAAATATAATTAAATATAATTAGAAATCCTAAGAGGAGCAAAAAAAAAGTCCAATTTATAAAAGTCCAAAGTTTAATATGGAGATACACTTGCAAATAGTGCTTGTTCAACAGAAAGTCTGCGTGATTCCTCAGTGGGGGTACCAGGGTATGTTAAGCAGTGGAATCCGTATGAAGCAACAGAGAGACAAAAAGGCCTTTTGACCCCTCTCCAAACGTAGCGCTTATGGTTGTGACTATAAAGCTCTATTTTGGTCTCGTCACTCCAAATTACAGTGTGCCAGAAGCTGTGAGGCATGTCAAGGTGTAGTCGGGCATATTATAACCAGGCTTTTTTGTGGCATTTACGTAGTAAAGGCTTCTTTCTGGCAACATGCATTTTTGTTCAACAACCTCACTGTCTTTTTCCAGAGCAGCCTGTATTTCTCCTGAGGTTACCTGTGGGTTTTTCTTTGTAACCCGAACAATTCTTCTGGCAGTTGTGGCTGAAATCTTTCTTGGTCTACCTGACCTTGGCTTGGTATCAAGAGATCCCTGAATTTTCCACTTCTTAATAAGTTATTTAACAGTACTGACTGGCATTTTCAAGGTGTTGGAAATCTTTTTATATCCTTTTCCATCTTTATAAAGTTCTATTACCTTGTTATGCAGGTCTTTTGACAGTTCTTTTATGCTCCCAATGGCTCAGTATCTAGCCTGCTCAGTGCATCCAAGTAAGAGCTAACAAACTCATTGACTACTTATACACGGACGCTAATCGCAATTTAAAAAGCCACAGGTGTGGAAATAAGCTTTAAATGCCATTTTAACCTGTGTGTGCCACCTTGTGTGTCTGTAAGACCAAACAATTAAACTTTTGATCAGCTATTTTGGTGATTTCTGTTATCATTATGATTTTAAAAGGAGCCAAACAACTATAATGTAATGTTCACTAGGGAACCCTAACATGCAGACAGGACAGAGTAGAGAGAATTGCAATGCTGATTCTTAGAATGGTCAGTTATGCAAAAAGAATAGTCAAAACACAAGCCGAGGTCAAGGGAAACAGAGAGACGGAATAACGAGAGACAAAGCCAAATATCAGTAACCAGGAAATCCAAAATAACAAGTGCAACGCTCAATGGTAAAACAAAGACCACAACAGGGCACTGAGGCAAGGGAAAGGTTAGCTTATATACACACAGGGTGTGTCTGATTGGCTAACCTCCAATTAGTGTTAACCACAACATGTGGGAGGAGTTTCTTCCCTCCCTTGTGTTCTGTGAGGTCATCACTGTGTGCCGGGTTCATTGACTGGGTGCAGCACATATATAAGGAAGCTGCTCTGGAGCATTCACAATACAAGTCTGGAGACAGGGACTAGATGACGCTGCTTGCGGTGATGAGGTAAGCAAGGTCGCTGCATGCGGCCCTGGGGCACAGGACCGGACATATGTGATAATAACTGGCTTCATATGATCGCTATCTTTCAATAATTTTTTAATTTTATTTGTATAATCGGTCATATTTTCAAAATCAATGCCAAAATTTCACAATTTCTGTCAGGATATGCAAACTTTGAGCACAACTGTATGTGAAACAAAGCACCTGAGAGTATATAGCATATGCCTGAAAACCATGCACAAATAAGACCACAAAATCAGGTACATCCACTAAATGGTGCAAATACATAAGCAAAAATAATCAAATAAATTACATATATAAATCATAGTAAACACAAAGCAAACAACCAAATGCACAATATGTGTAGAAAAAAAAATAAAACTATATATAATGAAATGTAAGAAACAAAGCATACATGCGTATTAAGGATAAGAGACAATTGCTCTATTATCTCTGTTACCAAGTATCAATCTGCAGTAACATTGATATTCTAAAGAAGAAACTGTAACAGAAAATAGTAAATACTATATCAAATCTATTAAAGTGAATTTAGATGGAAACCATATACAGCTTTTAGCTACCAGGTAGCGATCTAAAGTGATAGTGAAACAATAACAAAATATTATGGCAAAATTATTAACAGAATCATTACATTTACTAGATTTACTAGATATCCCTTACAAAAGAATGTAACTTACATTCACTTTATCAGTAACTTACATTAACTTGATCAGTTCATCATACAGACTACAGATATATAATGTCTCTAAACACCTCTGTAATAAAAATACATTTTAACTTTATGATTACCATAAAACATTTTTGGGTAAGTAAACCTTTGAATACAAAAGTAACTCTAAATATATTAAATTACTAAATTCAGCTTCTGGTTGAACCCCTTCATCTGGAAATCTTTGGATATCTCTCATTGAATATTTATACTTAAAGAATCAGTAGTATTGATTCTAATATCGATATTACCAAATAACTTTCTAATTTAACGAAGAATATAAATAATATATCCAATTAATTAAATATTCACTACAAAACATCTTCCAAATGTCTCTCAAATGCAGCTTTTAAAAAAACAACAACAAAAAAGCAGTACCACTGTCACCTATTAATACAAAGACCCATTATATTTTTAAATCAGAGGTTGCTCTGGTACCAAGATGGGGAATCCAAAGCATCTCCCTCTTGAAAACAAGTCACTGTCACATAGGGGCTTCACTATTCTCTCATTGCCCTGAAATGTGAAGTGACTAATGGGTGACATAATTAATACTATATATTTAAAACTTCTCTATTAGTCAGATAATAAAAGGAGAGAGGAGAAATAGTAGAGATGGCATAAACGTAGAGCTGGACAAAGTCAGAAATCATAGTAGAGATGGCATAAACGTAGAGCTGGACAAAGTCAGAAATCAGATGATTAGTTAGGAAAGAGAGAAGAAAGACATATAGAAGGCTCTACTATAGAAATGATACAGTGTCACCTTTGAAAATTTGTAATTTGTTAGTCTGTTTATTTTATGTTATATATGAGAAGATTTTTGACACACACACAGACATACACACACACAGACATACACACACACAGACATACACACACAGAAATACATACGGACATACACACACACATACATACATAAATACTGACATACACACACACATACTGACATACACACACACACAGACATACATACTTACATACACACAGACATACATACTGACATACACACACACACACAGACATACTGACACACACAGACATACACACAGACATACATACTGACATACACACAGACATATATACTGACATACACACACACACAGACATACTGACATACACACAGACATACATACTGACATACACACACACAGACATACATACTGACATACACACAGACATACATACTGATATACACACACAGACATACTGACATACACACACACAGACATACTGACATACACACAGACATACATACTGATATACACATACAGACATACTGACATACACATACAGACATACATACTGATATACACACACATACATACTGACATACACACACACAGACATACTGACATACATACTGTGGCAAACCTAGCCACTCGGACTATAACTGGACACTATGCCTTTAAGGGTTGCCTATAGGTCTGAAGAGATATGCGTTTTAACCTGTATGTGTCTGCTTCATGTATTCCCTGCATTGCCTGTACCTATCTGTTCCGCCGAATGCAAACGGCGGTTTGTATGGGGATTCTCGTTCGTTTCACGAACGGCACTTTGGAGGGCCGTTCGTGAAGCGAATACGATACCCCCTAATAGCCCACACACTTAGAGGCGTGTGGCGCTAGTTAACCGATTGCAACATTGTTGCAATCGGTTATTAGAGGCTCTCCTGGGTGGCCGTCGTTCGACTACCGACCATGCGGCGGTCGGCCATCTTGGATCCTTTGTGCCCTCAGCGGGGTTATGTCGTCGAGCGCCTGGTACTAAAAACGGCTACTCGACGGCATGAGCCCCGCTGAGCCTCCAGGACGTTCGGGAGTTTCGGGGCGTTCGGGATTTTGTTCCCTAATAGCAATCGGTTCTTTTTGTATGTTTTATGTGAATTGTGTTGTTCGTGCGGCGTTCGGTTATTTTAGCAGGGATCTGAGCGGTAATCTCACGAATGATACCCTCAGACCCCAGCTATCTACCAAACGTCCATTCGTGTAAATCCACTATATATTCACCAAGTTATTGATTTTTATGTGAATTATCGGTTCTGCTGCACGAGGGGATAATCCACTTAACGGTGCATTCTGGGAGGATTATCCCTCTCGTGCAGCGGTGCCTGATGGGAGAAAAAGGCTGTAATATCAGTCCCCCATGTAGTCCCCTCCTGTACAACCCCTGTAATGTCAGTATGGAAACCCCTTGCATGGGGAACTGCATAAATACTGTGACCTGTGATTAAAACCACAGTTGACTCCCAGCCTATGTGTCGTCTAGTTCTTGGGAAGGAAGGGTTACTGCAGTGCTGTTTGGATTACTATATGCTGATTCCCTGGATTATCCTTTGTTGTTCCTGTTACCCAGCGGAGATATCGTGGATCATACTGCCTCTCCGCTACAATTGGTGGCAAGCGACGGGATTGAATTTACACAGCAAAGCAACGTTCGGCAGATTTTTAAACTAATCAAGGAACAGCCATTCGGGAATTAGCGCATTCGAATAAACCTCACGAACAGCCGGTGAATGGGAACAAATTACGCCCTGCTAAAACGGAGCACATTAAAGGAGCTGCTGGAAGCAAGAGGAGCAATCGCCAGTAACAAGGCAAAGGCTGTCCTAATTACAGAGCTCATGGAGGGAGATAGAGTCGCAGCTGCTGCAGCACCTCGAATGGAGGGACAAACCCACGAATTTACAGCCGAATTCCGAGCACGAATGGCTTTATTTCCTGAACCCCCATCTACAGAGATGGTTAACCGGCTGTTCGGTGATGTACAGGAGTACATTATGGCTAGGGGACCGCCAGGGAACCAGCAAGCCGGGGAAAGAGCCGCAACGCCAGTCCATATTTTCCCAGGGAAAGCCAAAATCCCATATCAAGCCTTCAAAAGCTATGTGGAGGCGGAGGGTGGCGTTGACGACTATTTACAGGACTTCGAGAGACTGTGTTTGCTGCACGAAATTAATGATGCAGACAGAGTACCCCTACTAGCGGGGAGATTATCTGGGCGAGCCGCTGAAGCGTACCGGGCAGTACCAGACGAGGATAGTAGAGACTACGCTAAAGTAAAACGGGCCATTCTAGCCCGGTATGCCATCACATCAGAGGCATACCGAAAGAAGTTTCGGGACATTAAAAAACCCACTAAAGACACCCATGTAGAATGGGCGCACCAGCTGCAACGAGCTGCCAAGGGGTGGCTGGAGGCCGCCCAAGTGGATACCCTGGAGGGTCTGTTCCAGCTAATGGTACTGGAACAATTCTTCAATGGCGTCCCGACCTACCTACAAAACTGGATTCGGGACAGAAAACCACACACCCTGCAGGAAGCGGCTAATATGGCAGACGATTTCCAAGACAATCGGAGAGATCAACCCATACCAACCCGAGCCGTCATCCCCCCTGCAACGACCAGCCCTCCAGGGGGCCCCGCAACTCACCAGCGAACAGGGGTAAGCCAGAATTTCTACCCCCCCCCAGGTATTCAGCCTGTCCACCAATCCGGTGCCATACCTGCAACCAACAGGGGCACATCCAGAGAGACTGCCCACAGTACCGGCCTCGACCCAGCTGGAATAACGCAGCCCCGAGCAACCGTGCCGCAGTCCATTGTCTACAGGCCGAATCCTACCAGAATCTGGAGTTGGAGACAACCCAGGAGGAACCCCTCCGCACTCTACACGAGGTGAACCCTATCCAGGCCGCCTCCGATAACCGCCAAGGGCACCGCCAGGAAGTACACATGGAGGGGAGGAAAGTCCAAGGACTACGTGACTCTGGAGCCACCCTAACTCTAGTACGCAGTCATCTGGTACCAAAGCCCAAGCTCACGGGGGACTGTGTGGCTGTGCGGGTGGCTGGGGGAGCCATTTACAAAGTACCCACGGCCAAGGTGCACTTGAATTGGGGAGCGGGCACGGGAATGTATATGTGGGGATGATGCAAGACTTGCCAGCGGATGTGATTTTGGGCAACGATTTGGGGGAGCTGACTTCAGCTTTTGTTCCACAGCCCACCGTACAAGAAGCATACCCGGTTGTGACCCGGCAACAGGCCCGCACCACAGCACCATCCGAACACTCTGAGGCTCAGGTAAGCAATGACCCTCCCCTACCCCCTATCTTGCCCTGGGCCAATTCCGTAGAGTTCGGGACCGAAGTAGCCCTAGATCCGTCGTTACAGGTATACAAAGACCGCATTGATAAAGATCAAGCCGGGTTAGAGGGGGAAAGATATATCTGGGACAAAGGACTACTATATAGGCACGCAGAGAAGGTAGTGTCCGGGTCGATACCGTTGCCCATTAAACAGCTAATAGTGCCTCGGAAGTATAGGTTAGAGCTGTTACGCATAGCCCATGATATCCCCCTGTCTGGACACCTAGGCATCAGTCGGACCAAGCACAGGCTGACCCAAAATTTCTTTTGGCCAGGTATTTCCCAGGATATTAAGCGATATTGTCAGACCTGTGATACCTGCCAAAGGGTAGGCAAGAGAGGGGACAGATACAAAGCCCGACTACGGTCTCTGCCCATCATTGAAGAACCATTCAGTAGGGTGGCAGTAGACATCATAGGTCCCCTCGCAAAAGCCCAGCCCCTCTGGCAAAAAGTATGTCCTAACCGTGGTGGACTACGCCACCCGATACCCCGAGGCAGTGGCCCTAACTAACGTAAACGCAGAAACGGTAGCCGAGGCCCTGACGAGGATATTCACCCGGGTAGGATTTCCCCGGGAGATTATCTCCGATAGAGGCACCCAGTTCACTGCTGAAGTGACTCATCAGCTCTGGAAAATATGTGGGATACAACAAATCCTAAACTCCCCATATCACCCCCAGTCCAATGGGCTCTGTGAACGGTTTAACGGAACCCTGAAACAAATGATCCGCACGTTCATGGACACCCAAAAAGACTGGGAGCGGTTTTTACCCCACCTACTGTTCGCATATCGAGAAGTGCCGCAAGAATCCACCGGATTCTCTCCGTTCGAATTATTATTCGGGAGGAGAGTGAGGGGACCTCTTGACTTGATACGGGAACACTGGGAGGGAGACGAAACCATTAATGGCACCCCTATCTTACCATATGTGCTCGAGTTCAGGGAACGCCTGGAGAGGCTAACCCAGACCGTCCGAGACAATCTCCAGGTAGCGCAACAGCGACAGCGCCGATGGTATGATAAGGGAGCCAGGGACCACAGCTTCCAGGTGGGGCAGAAAGTTCTAATCCTGCGACCCGTCCACAAAGATAAGCTGCAGGCTTCCTGGCAGGGCCCATACAAAGTGGTGGAACAGATCTGTGACACCACCTATGTGATCGGCCCGGTTACCGGCGTGGGAGGCAAACGCATGCTCCATGTGAACATGCTCAAGCCATACCACGAACGGACTGAGGAAGTCACCGCAATCTGTGCCCCTGCCACGGAAGATTTTGATAACCTACCCCTACCCGATCTCCTAGACCAAGAGGGCCAGAGCGGAGATCTGGGAGAGGTACAGTTAGGAGAAAGATTAAATGCCCAAGAACGGGCCCAGGTACAAAAGTTGCTTCGGGAAAAGAAGGCCACGTTTTCCAATTTACCCGGCTATACCCCGTTGGCTACCCATAAGGTAGAAACGTTAGATCCGACCCCCTTGCGCCAACCCCCATACCGCACTCCAGAAGCAGTCAAGGAAAATATGCGCAAGGAAATTGAGGAGATGATTCAGCTAGGAGTAATAGAGCACTCGGACAGCCCCTGGGCCTCCCCGGTAGTACTGGTGCCAAAACGGGACGGGACGACCCGTTTCTGCGTAGACTACCGACGGCTCAACGATAAAACGACCTCTGACGCATATCCCATGCCCCGAATAGACGAACTCCTCGACAAGATGGCCAGGGGTCAATACCTAACCACTATAGACTTGTGCAAAGGGTACTGGCAGATTCCCTTAGCGGAAGACGCCATCCCTAAGTCGGCTTTTGTCACCCCGTTTGGCCTGTATCAGTTTAAGGTCATGCCATTCGGGATGAAAAACGCTCCAGCTACCTTCCAGAGAATGGTGGACAGATTATTAGATGGGTTCCAGGAGTATGCCTGCGCGTATCTAGATGATATCGCCATATTCAGCCACTCCTGGCACGAACATCTGGTTCACATAGGAGCCATTCTAGACCGAATCCGAGAGGCCGGACTGACCCTAAAACCCAGCAAATGCCATATCGGTATGGCGGAAGTCCAGTATCTGGGGCACCGGGTAGGGAGTGGGCAACAGAAACCCGAACCTGCTAAAATAGAGGCAGTCGCCCAGTGGCTACCCCTCGCACCAAGACCCAAGTGCTCGCCTTTTTAGGGACCGCCGGGTACTACCGGAAGTTTGTGGCCAACTATAGCGCCCTTGCCAAACCCCTCACAGACCTGACCCGCAAGAACCTCCCTAAGTTAGTAGTCTGGGCCCCAGAGTGTGAGCAGGCGTTCCAACAGCTCAAGACGGCGCTTGTTAACTCTCCTGTACTTTCTGCTCCTGATCCAACTAAACGCTTTCTCGTCCACACAGACGCTTCTATGTTTGGATTGGGAGCAGTATTGAGCCAAGTTGGACCCGATGGCGGCGAGCACCCCGTAGCTTACCTAAGCCGAAA